ACTTTAAAATGTACTTTTAGCTGAAGTATGCTGTATTTATATCTTATTTTGTGTGGTTTTCAATTGGATTTATCTATTCCATTTACATTACATGTTTAATCAATTCATCTAATTTTCTTAAAACATGCAGGGTCTGGAAAAACCACCACATGTACAAAATATGCATATTATCATCAGAAAAAAGGTTGGAAACCTGCCCTAGTGTGTGCAGATACATTTCGAGCTGGTGCATTTGATCAGTTGAAGCAGAATGCCACTAAGGCTAAGATTCCATTTTATGGAAGGTACTCTTTTTTCTTTCTACTGGTTTCTTTCTTTTAACAATTTCAACCAAAAGAGTTGTGAAGTTTGAGAATGTTGAATTTTTCTTTTCTTTATGTAAACATCTCAATTCTAGATATTAGTTATTTTTTAAATAGGGGAAGTGAAGGAAAGAGGAAGGTAGTATTTAGATTAGTATCACAGTGGCTATATTGGTCTCATACTCTACTGGTATGGATCACGGTTTGATGTTTTTGGAGTTAGGAAAAAGATGGTGGTCATTACAGGCAGCCATCCATGGTGTCCTCGTGCATATCCATCTTTATTTCTATACTACCTATATGTTTTTCTTCTCAGAATTTGATGCCTTTAGCATTCAAGTGATTTTTGGTATTTTCCCCTGCAGCTATATGGAGTCAGACCCTGTGAAAATTGCAGTTGAAGGTGTGGAAACGTTCAAAAAGGAGAATTGTGATCTTATAATTGTTGATACTAGTGGGCGTCACAAACAAGAAGCTGCCCTTTTTGAAGAAATGCGTCAAGTTTCTGAAGCAACGGTATTTGTTCTGGAATATACTATTTAAACTTACAGATGATTACATTTGTTTGATAATATCATTCTCTTAATATACTTTCTCTCATATTCCAGAAACCGGATCTTGTTATATTTGTTATGGATAGCAGTATTGGTCAGGCTGCATTTGATCAAGCTCAAGCCTTTAGGCAAAGTGTTTCAGTTGGAGCTGTTATTATTACAAAAATGGATGGCCATGCAAAGGGAGGTGGTGCTCTTAGTGCGTAAGTTTTACTGCAAATATTGCAATGTGTAATTTAATAATTTTTAGTTTGATCTAAGCATTGATATAGCTCATAAGAAGATGGTCCATTAAGATTACTCTGGAAACTTGGTATTTAGTTTCAACCTGTGCAATTCATGGGAAAAGTTTGCTATATTTATAAAATTTTGAAATAGTTTGCAAAATTGAAATATAACAAATAATTAAAAACTATAACCTCTTGTCTTGCTCAAATCTTCAAAACCTTTCATTGTACATCCACCTCATGTAGGTAAGCCAAACCACATTGACATCCATATTATGTTCCAACCCCGAACATCCAAATTATATATTTACCCTGTATACCTAAATCTCTAATTGCAGTACATTCTTTGCTAACCCGAAGTTCTCACTGTGAAACACTATTGGTAGTACCAAGCTTACGTTGCACAACACCTACCATACGTACCAATCAGTGGTTAGTCCCCTAATAATCAGCTCAATGTTTTCCTAAGGATGGGATTTGAAGTAAAATGGTTCAGCAATGTTATTGTATAAGAAATATTTATCTTGGGGTTTGATCTCTGTGAGACTGCTGAATTTGTACTCTTGAGGTGGCCGGAAATTTTCTGCTGAACTTGGATTTTAATGGGAAGGAAAAGAAACGCTAGACGACAGTAGGAAATCGCTCCTGGGTCTGTAAGTAGTCACAGCTAGGAAGATAAGTGAAGCACTCCTTTGATGGCTAAAATGCTGGGGCAGTAGGAAACATTTTTTTAGCAGAATTTTTGACAGAGTTAGTGTTAGGTGACACATTTGGAATATTGAAAAATCAAGGTGGCATTTCTCTTAAACAATTTTGTTTTCCTAAGGTGACAATTGAAACTCGTGTATAAGTTCAGGTGACATATCTGAAATCTTCCTTTTATGTATTATATGTGTTTTTTCTGCTAATCCGCCTTCTCAGTCTTGTAATGCTATTCCAAAATTTTCATGAACTTTAACTTCAAACGTTAGTCTAGTGTTCAATACCAAAGAATAGGTACAGTGAAGGAAAGTATCCCTTTGGTTTCTGGGATTTCCAGCAATGGAAATAACATAGAAAACTAAATTTGATAGTGTGCCTATAAAATAATGTCTAAAGACGACACAGAATTTTAGTCCTTACTAAGGTGTGGTGTGAAAAACAGAACATAGTGTTTTAGAGTTTCTAGAGTATGCACTTACAGAGAAGCATTGGTCGCTTCTCCCGTTTTCTTGTTTGCAAAATCATGGTCCAGAGTTCATTCTTAACTTATTATGGATTAATTTATGTAACAGAAACTTCTTGCTCATTGCAATCTAAGCAGTTGAAAATTCAAAATTGTAACTCTTGGATCATTAATCTCAGTGACTGTTTGACAACTAGATTTTCATTTATTATATGTGTGCAGTGTTGCAGCAACAAAGAGTCCTGTTATATTTATTGGAACAGGAGAGCACATGGACGAGTTTGAAGTTTTTGATGTTAAACCGTTTGTCAGCCGTCTCTTAGGTCACTATCTTTTTCAGTCTTGACTTTTCTTGATGTACTTAGCAATGAATATTTTAAACTGTTTAAATAACAATGGTTTTTACCACCAGGCATGGGCGACTGGTCTGGATTTATGGACAAGATCCATGAAGTTGTTCCTATGGACCAACAGCCAGAACTCTTGCAAAAGCTTTCTGAAGGGAACTTTACATTAAGGATTATGTATGAGCAGTTTCAGAACATACTTAAAATGGGTCCAATTAGCCAGGTTATCATTCTCTTTTATTGAACTTTATCTAGAACGTGCCTCTTTTATGTTCTTGCCCCTTCTTCTATACTTCTGTTTTACAGGGTGTGCAATGTTTGAATACTAAATAGGTGGCACCTTTGTGTGATTGGATCTACTGAAGCTAATTGTAGATAAGAATACATTACGTTCACATGTTTAGGGATAACGTTCACGTTTTATGGTAGCTTCACTAATTCTTCCCCAAATATAAATTTTAGCAAAAACCACTTAAAACCCAACGTCGACCCTTCTCTACAGCTTCCCCAGAATTGAGAAATGCCCAAACTTTTCTCCAAATCAAGTTTGCTGTTTCATTTTTTCAAATGCTGCTTATTACTCTGACTCAGTATAGCTCTCCTCTATAAAAGAGGTCTTCCCCTCCCCCGAATGTCGTAAATGGATTTTAAGAAACCATATTATTGATGTCATGAAGACTGGGGAGGTAAGAATCGTACTCATGATTATGTATGAACTGTATGTCTTGTTCTCTCTCTCTCTCTCTCTCTCTCTCATACACACACACACACACACGCAGAAGCTTTAGGGTATGTAATCATGGATGTTATAGTTGAGACTTGAGAGGATCCTTGCAGACTAAGAATTTATTTGGTTTATGTAGGTCTTCTCAATGCTTCCAGGATTCAGTGCTGAATTAATGCCAAAAGGTCGTGAAAAGGAAAGCCAGGCGAAGATCAAGCGGTACATGACCATGATGGACTCTATGACAAATGAAGGCAAGTAAAGCCCATTCCTTTTGTTTCTGTGTATTAAGCCGCGTAGTTTGAACAATAACTGTGATGTTTAGTTCCTTTTGCAGAAAAAAAATACAAGAAACTCACATGTTCTACTGAATTCGTCATGTTGAACTGAGTAGCTTAACTTGTCTTGCAGAGTTGGATAGCTCAAATCCAAAACTCATCAATGAATCACGTATAATGCGAATAGCACGAGGTTCTGGTCGTCAAATTAAAGAAGTAATGGAGATGTTTGAAGAATACAAGCGCCTTGCCAAGATATGGAGCAAAATGAAAGGACTTAAGATTCCGAAGAAGGGTGAAATGAGTGCACTATCCCGAAATATGAATGCGCAGCATATGAGCAAAGTCCTTCCTCCCCAGATGCTGAAGCAGATTGGTGGCATGGGTGGCTTACAAAGCTTGATGAAGCAAATGGGTTCTGGTAAAGACATGATGGGGATGTTTGGAGGCGGGGACAAGTAAGATATTTATGTCAATTACAGTGGTGATCTCAAGTTTATTTGCAAGTAAGGGTTGTCCTTGTCAACCAGAGAGGCTTGCGGTTGTGGGAGGCTAACATATATCTGCCCGCCAGTTGATCCTGCTAACTGTTTTGCTAGAGCCTATTATCCAAGGGGCCAACAGATAATTTTGTTTTGTTTTTAATCGATAGTTGCTTTAGTTGTGATCTGAAGGGTCGGCGTTTCTTTTTTAGTCTTATTGTATACAATGTATTTGGTTAAAGAAATGATCGGTGATCAAAAGAATTGTAATGAAGTGTAGGCAATGAAGTGAATTTCATCATTTAATGTTTAAAACAGAGCACATAGGATTTGTTCCCCCTTTTTTTTTTTTTTTTTTTTTTTTTTTTTTTGTAGCCATTTACCAATTTGATTTCATGCTTGCAAAAAGTTTTGTGAGGATATTTAATATCAAGTATTTTGGCATATTGAGGCCCCAAAACTACCTATTTGATTACTTTTTGTAGTTTGCCTCACCCAACATAGCTTCGCTTTCTTGAGGTGATTATTCATGTTTGTTTATGGGAAAAGTACGAATAAAATAGTAAGAATTCTGAATGCTAGATAGCATATCCCAATTGGAGCATTCCTGGTTAGTCTTAATCTTCTCTCCCAACCGATTGCGATTGGCTGTTTCCGTCGTTTGTAAATAGCAAATTTTCATTCCTTCAGAGTTTCCTGCTTTGACTTTTCCTGATTGCGAAATGATCTGAACCGTGAACGCGTCTTAGAAGTTAGCTACATGACTCGTTTTGCTAAGAAAATTCTCAAAAATAGTCGTGGATTATACTATTTCTTCAAAGCTATTTAACTTCTATGGCAACCTTTTCTTGTACAACAGCAAATTGAGGATACAACGGCCATGAATTCTGTAGTTTCTGTGGTGAATCTTCTTGTACAATAAAGAACAAAGAGCATGTATATTTTTCATTTAAAATACATTAGTCTACATACAACACTTCTAAATGAAGCCATTTCATCAAAGTACGAAAAACCAACATGAATATATGAAATTTTGAGTTTGACTGATAGATACACAGCCATCTCTTTACCTATTCAACTGCAGCTAGCTCAATCTCATTTATTTTAGAAGTCTTTGTGCTTGATGCAGAAGTATTCGAGTCTTCATCTGTTCCACTACGTTGGGATAAATTTCGTGGAGGAGATTGTCCATGTTCAAATGGAAAAGGTGGTGGAGGAATCATCATATGTCCCTCCAGCATCATCACCACATTGCTCATGAGAGGCCTTTCTTCTGGTGAGTTCTGAATGCACAACAGAGCTACCAAAAACATCCTCTCTGCTTTTTCCCTGTCTTTCTCTTCAATCCCGCAACGAGACACCAACACCGCCAATTCATTTTTGTTATACATGTTCCATGTCCACTTTGGAAGCCATTCACTTGACTCGTTTGCATTAACATCAAGATGTCTTCTCCTTCCAACAATCTCAAAGAGAACAATACCAAAACTGTACACATCACATTTGTGAGTCACAGGATAAGGCTTCCATACATCTGGAGCTGCATATCCTGCTGTCCCTCTAACGTTGGTTAACACCATGTGACTACTTCCCCTGTTGCAAAGCTTTGCAAGGCCAAAATCTGCAACCTTTGGATTCAAATTCTCATCAAGAAGTACATTTTCGGGCTTAATATCGTAATGAATGATTCTTTTTCCACACCCCTCATGCAAATAAGCTAATCCTTGTGCTATTTGTACTGCAATATCATGAAGCTTCTCCAAATCTACTTGTTTGTTCTCGTCGAACAATAACTTGTCAAGCGATCCATTCTCCATGTACTCATAGACAAGTGCTTTCAATTCAGGGTCGAAGCAGAAGCCATAAAGTCTAACCAAATTCATGTGACAAATTCTTCCCAAAGTGCCAACTTCTGCCATGAACTGCTCTTCAACTATCTTAGCACTATTATTGTTGGTAAGGACCTTGACAGCCACTTCCACTCCGTCAACAAGAAGCCCTTTATATACTACTCCGAAAGCACCTGAACCCAACAAGTTGGCGGGGTTATAATTATTTGTGAACTCTGCAATTTGCTTAGGTGAGAAAGCTATAGGCTTCTCTCTTGCCATGTTGCTAAGAAACCCTTTGATTGTTGTTGGAAAATCAACTTTTACCGGAAACTGATCAGCTCTTACGTCTATTGCTACTTGGTTGGAGTCCTTGCTGGTGCTGTCAACGCTACCGACTATCCGAGCAGAGATTGGAATACTTCCTGCCTTCTTGGCGCAGTTAATAATGGCGTATATAATGGCTGCAACAGCAACGATAAACACCACGCCAGAAACTGAAAAGGAAAAACAAAATTGAGAACATGATTGTTGTAGCATAAATATAAAGTAGAAAATCACTTGCAAGTTTTCTGAAAATAGAAACTGTAAAAATGAAAAGAATAGCTAGCTAGCTGCATAGGCAACAATTATGTGTTGTATTGCTCTGGATTGAAGCTTTATTACCAACAGAAGCAGTCACCATCTTGTTCACGGAGGAATTGAAGGTTGCCTCTGGTGGCGTTGAGAAGTCGTTCATTTTTTTCTGCTAAACTCTAGTGCGTAGAATGAAATGTCAGAAAATGAAGCTGATAGAAGTGAACACAGAAAGAAAGCTAAGATATAAGTGAGACCTTTGCTTATTTGTTTGTTCCTTTTTCAAACAGATTTATATATATTTTCTTTCTTCTGCAGTTTGCAAAATTTTGTTTGAACCAGCAGGTTTTCATGATAACTTGCGAGGAAATTACAGGGAAGTTTCCAATTTCTATTCAAAACTCATTTGGACGGTGCTCTAAGTGGATGAATTGAACACGCCTGATATGAAAAAGAGAATTTTTAGACCATGAACTGGTCTACAATTATTTTCTTAGGAAAATGCGTTGCAAATGGCAATAGCATATGAGGCTGTCGCAGTCGGGGAGAAAATAAGGTGATTAGGGAAATAGGTATACAAGTGGAGGAAATAGCACCGCTTTAAATTAAAGGATATGATTCTCACTCCCTCTTTCTCCACTTACACTCCCTTTTGTTTTTTAGTACTTTTTAATTTATTTTGTTCTTTTTTCTTCCTATTCTACCCTTACCCTACATTAATTTCCTTTTACTCACTTTTATATTAGTTCTTTTTCTTTATACTTAATTTTCCAACTTGCACTCCATTTTCAATATCTTTTTTTTTCCTTTAATCGAGTAAAAAATTAAGTTTTTTCCCCCCCTTTAATACTGAAAATGCAGTGCAAGTTGGAAAATTAAGTATAAAGAAAAAGAAATAATATTTAAGTGAAGTAAAAAAGAAATTAATGTAGGGTAAGGATAGAATAGGAAAGATAAATAACAAAATTAATTAAAAAGTATTAAAAAGCAAAAGGGAGTGTAAGTGAAGAAAATAAGAGTAGAAAAATCAACTCCCTAAATTAAATATGGGATCGTACGTTCATATAAACCCTCATCCGATTCTGTGCTGAAGGACGAGTGGATTGGCAATTTCCATTATACTGCCGAAGTCAACTGTTGTTTCCCCTTTCCCATTCGGATGAACTTATTCATTATTTTCTTTCAATTTCATTGACTTGACTTCATATAATAATACTAATACATTCATTTAGCCAATAACCTAATGACTTCTTGGACGATAAGTAGCCCTATTTCTTTCTACTTTATTGGAAACAAGTCTCACACTGATGGAGTGGCAAGTTTGATACATTTGTAAGAGGAGAAGAAGAATGCAGTGTCACGCTTTTAGCTTTTGGATGAGTTTTAAATGACATGGCCTGCTTGGAGTGAGAGCCAAGCAAATCCGAACAGAGAAAAAGAGGATCCCGATCTTTCGTAATATTACAATATTATGACTTTGTTCAAGGAGACTCTATTTTTATTATAAAGGGTTATTCGCAGCAATGGTCCCTCAACTATACCCGTAGTTATATTTGGGTCACTGAATTCAATTATTAGTTGCAGACGTCACTCAATTAGGTGTTGTGTTGCACCATTAGTCCTTTCGTCAAATTCTGTTAAATTTTCTGTCAAAAGTAAGGATAAATTCGGAAATTCATCCACAACCATCCCCTTCCTTCACAACCCTCCATTACCGCAACCCAATCCTTGCCGACACCAAAAAATTCAATTAAAAAATGCCGCACAGCAACAGGAATATTTACAAATATTCATAATAAATACCTTCATACCAACAAACAGATTCAAAATCTCGCATTTTAAGCCGCTTACGAGAACCCAAGTCAAGTTCTTGTCCCATTTCAGTACTCACCCGCTTCTCCCCATCAATCTAAAACAACCCAAAAAATAAGCAAAGGAAGAAGAACCAACCTTTGAATCCGATCTGGGTATCGAGACCAACCCTTCTCCTAAATCACATCGGTCTTCCATAATCTTCGAACCCAATTCAAATACACCAATTAAAACCCAATCCTTTTGCAAGAGCCACTAAATCTGACTCATGGGTGCTAAAATTTGTAGACTTTTGAAACAAAAGTGAAAAAGGGTAAGTGATGAAATGATGAATCTTTGGACCTCCCCGAGGGAGCAAACAAGAATGGAAGGTTGAACCATAGGTTCAGCACAAGAGGAATCTTTCTTAAACTCGGTTCGCCGTCAATTTGCAAACCATCAAGAGGTTGAGAGGGAAGAGGGGTTGGTGGGTTAGGGTTTTGAAGTTTTGTGTAGCAGATCTGTGGGAATTTTTATTATTTGATATTCAATTTGAATTTCCGCATTTACAAATTTAGGTTGTGAATGAATTTCCGAATTTACCCTCACTTTTGACAGAAAATTTAATAGAACTTGACGGAAGGACTACTGGTGCAACAAAATACATATTTGAGTGACCTCTGCAACTAATAATTGAGTTCAGTGACCCAAATGTAACTACGGGTATAGTTAAGGGACCATTGCTGCGAATAACCCTATTATAAAAAACAAGAGGGTGGCACACATTTTCATCCACCCTTTTCTAATGCATACTTACAAATTGTTTATTCATAACTATCCAATAAATGGCAAGAATTGGATTATGGAAAGTAAACCACGAGTAGGGAACGTGTCCTGTTGTACAATGAAATCGGAGATAGGCTTGACTTGAGGAATGATAATATGTTAGAATCTAGAAAGAACATGTGTGTTGGTAACTTCTACCTGTATATACAAGGATTTAGAAAACTTGGGTATGCATTTCGTATATTGATCTACAATAATATTACTCACATGTCATTTTTCCAAGAATTTGCTTAGAACAGTTTTTCTTAAGTATGCATCTCCTCCATCCTCATCATCTTCTTCTTCAGCTTTTATATTGGCGTTCAAAGCACAACGGATTACTGAGTTGACCTGCATCCTCAATCTGGCGCTATCAACAAACTGATCTGTAAGCATCTTCCTCAACTCATCATCAGCCGTCCTATCACTGCCAGCGATGTTGTGAGCTTCGTCTACTGCCATAACTGCATTTTCGACGTCCTGAGCCAGGAGCTGTGCCTGTTGCAATTTTGTGAAGCATTTGGTCACACCAAAATTATAAGCAAATAAAACCCTAACAATTGGAAAGAGAATACATCATTCTTGGAAACATATATTCTAGATAAGTATTGACTAAAAGACCAGATGTGTATTTGACTGCTATGGGTATATAGCAGTAAAAGTCACACATGTTGGACAACACGGTGCTTCTCATATTTCATCAACATTTCTAGCATCATATTTTATAATACTTGGATCACTTGTATAAGGAGACCAATAAAGCTAGTTAGCACCTTCAACTTTTAGAAGTATACTTTCATGAGCCGGCTTGCAGTCTAATAAATACAGATTACTAATATACGTCACTCAATGAGTTAAAAGACAAGAACAAGAACTAGGGGTAATTACATTTTTTGTCACTGTGGTTAGGGTCGAATTTAATTATGGTCACCGAAATTTCAATTTTTCAATTTTGATCACGGTATTTGCAGCGGTTAGCAAATTATGTCAAATGTTTCACTTCTGTGAGTTTCATTAATTTAAAATTTTAAAAACCCACGTGCCCATCCCCTCCTCTCTCTCTCTTCCCTTTCTGTCTCTTCCCCCTCTCTTTCTTCGACTGGGTTTGTTCAAACCCAAAACCCACACCCACCTACCCTCCCCCCTTCCCACTCCAATGCAACCCAGAACCCACCCCCCTCTCTATCTTCAACTAGTTTTTCTGCATTTTGCTCTTCTGCATCTGCTATGGCACACCCTAATACTTCTGCAATTATCTATCATGGTTTTGATTAGGGACGATACTCCTTCGTGAGGAGGTGGGGAAGGGGAGGTGATGGGGTGGGCAGTGATGGCTGTGAGGTGGTGGGGGAGGTGGTGTGGGTGGCTGTTGAGGGGGAAGAGATAGAGGAGAGAGAAGGGGATGTGGCTTATGGGAATTATCATGAAGCTCCAATGGCGGTTTGAATTTGAGAGGTTGGGTAAAAAGATTGAGGTGGGGTGGTTATGGCTGCCAGGGGTTGGGTAAAGAGAGAGAAAGAGGAGGATTAAACAATTATTTAAAAAAAATTAATAATTTAATTTAATTTATTTATAATTTAATATTAAAAAATATTTTTAATTAATGAAACTGACGGAATTGAAACATTTGCGGTGACCAAAATTGGAAAAATGAAATTTCGGTGACTAAAATTAAATTCGACCCTAACCCCAGTGACCAAATATGTAATTACCCCAAAAAGAACTAAAGGTGCCAAACATACCTCTGCAAGAAGTAGACCTATTCTATTGTCAGAGGTTGTCAGTAAATCTATAGCATCAGATGGGGATGAGGTATCCAAAATGAGTTTATCTTCCTCTTCAACAAGGAAATTAACACTACACTCTTGAAGCCGATTGCGAAGAATTTCACATTCATGCAACAACTTTGCATTAGCAGTATTTGCGCCCTCTATTCTTCGCCTTTCCTTTTGAAGAATCCTCTGAAAGATAAACACGAAACAACATATTTAGAGGGTTTTAAATCGTATTTTTCCTTAAAGAAAATGCATAATACGACCAAAACTGCTAAAATCCAGAAGAATAGAGAAACACTAAATTCTGCTTAGCACCCTTATCTCCTATCATCAAATGCCCAAAAGCGTTGGCTAATGTATTCATGTGCTCTAAGTGTCGTCCTTGTTAATTTTCCATTTTTTTAGAAGTGCAATCTTGTTCTTTTGTGAATCCCATTCAGTTGGATGTCTCCTAGTCCAAGAAAACTACCGTTCATAAGAAATTTCACACATATGAGGAAGAACAACGGCGGTTTACCAAAACATATTATTCAAATTTCCAAGTTTGGGACTCAACAAAAATCAAATGAAGCAGAAACAACATTACCTCTACTTCTAACTTTTCTTTCAGTAATCGACTGAGTTCCTGCTTCAATTCTGATTGTGAATTCCGAAGAAATTTGACCTCTTTAACAAGTAGCTTTACATCTGTCTTTGATTTTGCCTCAAACTCTTCATGATATTTCTGCAAGTTCTCAAGTTGCAGCCTAGAGGCATCCAACTCCTGTAGCAACATATCATTCTCCTGAATGATAGATATTTTTGTTGACTCTGAATGCACCTTTGCATCCTGGAATATTCTTGCACGTCATCCACAGAAGGTCAATGACAGAGAAATCTAAGAAAAAAAAA